GTGTGTGGTGGGGACTGTGCTTCCTGTGTTTTGTGTGTCCACGTGAGGATTACATGTGCAGCACTGAGAGAAGCAGCAAGGTGTGTGTAAGTGCATGTGGTGTGTGTTGTATGTGTGTGGTATGTGCTTGTGTGTGAGATGTGTGTAGTGTGTGTGTGGCATGGCGTCGGTGTGGCATGGTGTCTGTGTGGTATGAGTGTGTGTGTGTGGCATGTGGTATATGTGGTGTTTGTGACATGTGTGATGTGTGGTATGCGTGTGATTTGGTGACTACGTTGTGCAGTATGAACGTGGTGTGTATGTGACATGCAATGTAGTGTGTGGTGTTGTATGTGTGTGTGTGGGATGTGGTGTAGGTGTGTGTGTGGTGTGTGTACCCCAGCCACAGAATCACCCCCACCAGGGCAAGGCCAGAGCATTTGGTTGATGTTGGCGGGGTGGGGACGGGGGTGACATCTGGGGTGAGGGTGGCAGGTACTGGCAGGAAAGCCCCTGTCCTGACCCCTTCCTCACCAGGACAGCCAAGGGGTCTCCTGGTGCCTGTGGTGGGACGGTCCCTGAGCCTGGCTGTGTGCACATGGGCAAGGCCATAACCTGAAGGGACAGTGTGTGTGGGTACAGGCACTTGGTGTGTGACAGCAGGGAGTGGGGCCGTGGGCTTGGTGGGCAGCGTGCGGGGCTTGTACTTGTGCAGACAGCGGGCCGGGGCCTGGCCCCACAGCCAGGGGGTTGCATGGCGTGTGGGTGCTGTGGGGCGTCCTGTGAGTCTCTGCTGGGTGTCCAGATGTGGCCTACAAGGGTGCGTGTCATGGAAGGGTGTGTCCCCAGATTGTCTGGACGTGTGGCCGTGGGTACAGTCCGGGCATGGGGGGGGCTGATGTGTGTGTGCACTGGTGTGTGTGTGTGTGTGCACGCGGGGGCAGTGGTGGGAGAAGGGTCTTGGGCCGCGTCCCTCTCCTCTTTAGACAGAGCCCTGGAGAAGATATGAAATTTAAAAAAAAAATCAATTTTCATTCCACTTGTGCAGATTGTGTTAAGGGGAGGTGGGGATGGGGGGGCCTGGGTGAGGGATGAAGGGGCTGGGGGGGGTGCGAGGCCCGAGGCAGCTCCCGAGGCGGCCAGCGCAGCTTAGAGAAATCAAAACAACTGGTTAAACCCCAGCCCAGGGGGCTGGGGTGATGGGGGCGAGAGGCAGGAGGAGAGGCGGACAGAGCTGCCTGGAGACAGAGGGACAGACAAGAGCCCAGAGACACGAGAGAAGCAGAGACACTCGAAGATGGAGACATTTAGAGACAGAGGCATCAGAGAGACAAAGACCCTCAGTGAGAGACGGACAGACAGACACRGACACCCGGAGAGGTGCTGCCAGAGACAGAAGCAAGTCTGAGACAGTGCACATTTTACACAAACACACATGAGCGTGCAGGGTGTGCAAAAATATGCTTGAAAAGTCCACAGATGATAAATGCACAGACAGATGGACAGGTGGCAACAGGGGAGGCAGGTGGCCTGGGGTAGGTTACCTCTGAGCACACCTCCCCAAGCCAGCCTGTCCTGTGGGCTGAGTGTGATTGGGGCTGCAGCACAGGCTCCCTGCTGTGCTGGTCGTGAACTGTGATTGTGTGTGTGTGTGTGTGTGTGTGTGTGTGTGGTTGTGACTGTATCTGTGTGACTGTGTCTGTGAATGAACTGAGGCCACCAAGGTTGCTGTCTGGCTGTGGCTGTCTACTGTAGTGTGTGTGTCTGTGTCTCCATGCTTGGCCAGGTGTGTGCATGTGTGGCCAGGGTCTCTGGTGCTGGCCTGTGACTCTGTGCTTTTGTGTCACTGGCTTGGCTGTGCTGCTATGTGTCTCCGGTGTCTCTGATTCTGTGTGACCTCATCTCAGTGTGATTGTGTGATTGTGAGTTTCTGTATGTGAGTGTGAGCCTAGATGTGTGATTACGTGTTTGTTAGTGTATCCATCTGGGATTTGTGATTGTGTGTCTTTATTTCTGGGTGGGATTGAACTGATRTGTGACATGTATGTATCTGTGTAAAACTGTGTCTGTTTCTGTGTGAATGTGACTATGCTGATGTGTGTGTGATTGTGTCTGACTGTGTTGGTGTGTGTGACGTGCACCTAAATGATGTGTGTTGTTGGGGTGTGACAATGTGCCTGACTTTGTTGATGTGGGAATCTCTGTGATTGTGTCGTATGACGGTGGGGGGGACATGTGTCTGTGTGGCGTGTGCCACTCTGTTGGGGTATGTGTGTGTGTGTGTGTTGTGTCCTGTGTGAGGTGGCTTGTGTGCCTGGGTAGGTGTGGGCTGTGCAGTTGTGCTTGGCAGGAGAGGAGGGAGCAGCCTCTGCCCGCCCAGCCCCGCTGCACACGGCTGCCTCACACACGCACACACTCGGTGCCATGGCTGCGGGCAGTAGAGATGGGGGCGAGGGGGGGTGGAGGAAGCAAAATAAAATTAAAAATTAAAGCTTGCCCGGAGTCCCCATCCGCACCATGCCGGCCGGCGGGGAGGGGCGGGGTTGGGGCTGCTGGCTGCTCCCCCTCTACAGCCACCAGGGCTGGGGCCGTCTGTCCATCTGTCCAGCTGCCCTACCGGGCCCCTGCCTGCTCTACAGCCCCGGGCCGCAGGCCCTGCTCCCTCCATGGGTCGATCAGCGATCAATGGGGCCAGGGGGGCGCCAGGGGCAGGGCGAGATCAAAGGGGCCCCAAGAGAGGGACACTGGGACGAAACAGAGACRTAGAGATGGAGACGTGGAGACAGAGACATGGAGATGGAGTGTGGAGACAGAGACTAGGGGGAAGAGACAGAGACGTGGAGACCTGGACTTTGGAAGAAGTGGAGACATGGAGACAGAGACAGGGAGACAGAGAGGCAGAGAGGTGTGGAGACCCAGAGACTCGAGGACAGAGAGACAGAGAGGCAGAGAGAGGTGTGGAGACCCAGAGACGTGAGGACAGAGAGACAGAGAGAGATGTGGAGACCCAGAGACGTGAGGACAGAGAGACAGAGAGGCAGAGAGAGATGTGGAGACCCAGAGATGCGAGACTGGGCAGAAACAGCAGGCGGGGCAGGCGGGCAGGGAAGGGGACCCAGCCGAGGGGTCAGGGGTCCAGGTCCCCAGGGGCCTGACACGGGGCGGGGCCCAGAGACAGGGGGACGGCAGCAGAGACCTGGAGGAGGCAGAGACGGGGAGAGACGGCGCGGGCGGGGGAGCGTGGGAGCAGGGCCCGGAGCGCCGATCCCACGGCTCCTCGTTATAACGTGTCCGGAGGAGGCGGCGGGGAGTTGAAAGCGTCGGGAAGAGAAATCAAAACCAACACGGAAATGAGAGGGGCCAATGGGGGGTGGGGCGGGGAGGGGGGCCCAGGGAGGCGGGGGAGTGGGCGAGGTGGGCGGGAGGGTGCGGGAGAGGGGCGTCCGGAGAGGCGGGGGCGGGCGGCGGGGGCTGGGGGCGCGGGCGGGGGTCGAGGGCGGAGGGCGGAGGGAGGGAGGCGTGAGGTCTCTCAGAGACAGAGATGGAGGCGGACGGGGAGATAGAGGGGACGAGAAGAGGGCGCAGGGAGAGACGGGGAGAGAGGAGGAGCGGGCCAGCAAGGAACCCAGAAAAGAGGGACAGAGGAGAGTGGTGGGGACCGAGGGAGGTGGCCAGGGCGACAGGGAGGACTCCAGGTGGAGGRGAGATGGAGGAGGGGTGTGGGGAGGGAGGCCGCGGGAGGAGACCGGGATGAGCTGTGGGAGGCCGAGGAAGTCGGGAGAGGGGCTGCAGGACGGGGTGCAGAGGGGCCTCAGGCCCGGGAGACCCAGGAGGCAGGTGCTGGGGTGGTGGAGCTCAGGGGTCAGGATTGGGGCCTCTGGGGACATGGGTTATCGGAAACATCCTGCTCAGTGTCCAAGAAGTGAGGGGGTGCTCGTGGGGGAAGTGTCTGGGGTCTGAGGGGCTCCGGAGTGCACGGGCTGCCTGGGAGCCGTGGGTGCCTGTGAGGGGTGGCCTGTCGGGTATCCAGGGTGCGGTACCAGAGAGGGTATCTAAGGAGGGAAAGGAGGACCAGAGGTGKGGCTGAGGATTGGTGGGGCTCCTGAAAGTGCCGGATGTGTCCTGCCTGAGGGGGTGGCGTGTGCAGGGTGTGTGGGGAGCAGATGGTTGTGGGTGTGGGGTGGGTGGCGAGGGGCACGGGCTGAAGGGGAAGGTGTGAGGGAAAGAGGAGGGGATGGAGCATCTTAGGGCAGGAGGCATCTGAAGGGGGCGTCTGGGGGGATGGGGCCGAGGAGGAGGGGCCTGAGGGGGAGACTCAGTGGGAAGGGGTGTCTTTGGGGGGCTGAGGGGAGGCAGATCCAAGTGGCAAGAATCTTGGATGAGCAGCAGGTTTGAAGCAAGGGGGTCTTGGGACTCCCAGGGGGACCCTGTGCAGGGAGGGCAGGGGCTGGGCCAGCTGGTGCCCAGCTTTGCCAGCTCTGGGGTGACAGAGTGGGGGACAGCTAGCCCAGGTCAGCCAGGCAGGGCAAGTTTTGGAGCAAAATATATCTGGGGTAGCTGGAGAGACATAGAGGGAGACAGGAGCCCCCCAAACGCAGGGACCAGCCCCAGAGGTCAGGCGAGAGACGGTGACAGGGACGGCAGCAGAGACGCACAGGCGGGCTGAGGGCGGGCGGGCTGGCGGGCGGCGAGAGCCAAGAGAGTGAGAGTGAGTGAGGCGCGGAGGGAGGAGGCTGAGCGGCTGGCGAGAGCTAGGCAGGGAGTGAGCGGGAGGCTGAGGAAGGAGAGGCTGGCAGGGAAGGTCTGTGGTCCAGGCCAGAGGGGGACTAGGGACAGAGGGACCTGTGGGAGGGAGCAGGAAGGGAGGACTGGGGGGCAGAGGAGGCGGGCACCAGGCAGATGCTGGGGACCTGGGAGAGGGAGAGCCCTGGCAGCATCCAGCTGCTGACCCCTGTCTGTCTCTCCCACTGTCCTCCGTCCTGTCCCGTGTCTGTCCCAGACTCTGCAGGGTCAGCTCCGCCATGGACTGTAGCTKCGTCTCCGACCTTCTCTTCGCCCCGCCTGCCCTGCCGGCTCTCTGGACCCCTGGTAACTGGCCCGGACTTCTCCCACCCCACCCCCCAGCCCTCAGGCCTCCGCGGGGCCACACCCCTTTCTGTCTCCCCCTCCTCTATCTGTGAGTCTGTCTGTCTCCCCTGGTTTCCATCAATGTCCCCTGAATAAAACCCCTTATGAAAAACTTGGCTATAAACTTCGCAGCCAGCTTTCCCTGCCATCTGCCTGTGGGACGTGGGGGTCTTCTGGAGGGCAGGGGAAGCATGGGAAGGGAGGGACGAGGTCCTGGCGACTCTGCCCCGCACATCTCAGCCTTCACCTACCTGTGGCAGACAGCAGGCTGGGGGCTGGAGGAGAGGGACTAGGAGAGATGGGCAGAGGGCATGGCTCAGCCATCCAGAGCCCAGGGTGACAGGATGACTTGCCCAGAAGTGGATGCTCAGACCTGAGGATGTGGACAGTGAGGCGGGCTCGGACCTGCATTTGAGCCCTAGTCACAGCCCCCCAGATGGCAGTGTGTGCCTGTGAGAGAGGGAGACTGAGGCTGCCTGGTTGTTTGAGGTCTCATTTGGAGTGTGTCCCTTTGTCACACTTCAGTGTTTCTGGAGAAAGTGGTCACACTCGGCAAGTGTCTGCATGCATCTCCCGTCTTTGTGTGAGCTTGGGTCCCTGCTTGTATGCAGGTGGCGGAGGCCACCTCTGTCTCTGAACTGGCAGGCAGGTGGACATTTTAGGCTTGTGTGTGAGGGGGGTGTCTGCTGACCCGCCGAGTTGAGTGTGCCTCTGCCTCAGTGGGGTGAAGAGGCTTTGTCCATTTCCTGGGGTCTGTGGTGTGCTCTGTGGCATTCCAGGGACGTCTTGGTACATTTTGGGCTGTGTGGGTGGATGTGCCCCTGGGTCTCTGTTCTGGCTGCGTCTCATTTTTAGCCCAGGGGTGAGTGTGTGACTGGATCCTGGGGTTGCCTGTCAGTGCATGTGCCTTTGACCACTGAGGTGGGATCCTCTAGCCATGTGTMATGTCTTGGTGGTGCATTGGAGGTTGCGGGTACAGGGCAGGTGGTCTTTGGGTTGGGTTTTGCATTGTCATCTTGGGTTATATTGCTTCCCCGGTAGGATGTGCTCTGGTTGTGGAATGGGCTAGGGCTTCAGTCTTGACTGAGCCTGTCATCAAAGGTGACAAAGGAATTGGAAGGCCCCAAAAGGAATTGGATAAAATTCTCCCCTGAGGAGAAAAGTGCCTGGCCTTCCAGCAGGGGAGCCTCAGCACCCATTTCAACACACCAGGCAGCCCCATGGGGCCCTGCTCCTCCTGCTTCCCGCCCTAGAACCTTAAGACAGCGAGAGAAGGGTCTGCCCAGTGGCCACATAGCAAGTGGATAGGGGATCCGGGTCTCACAGCTTTGCAGGTTCCTGCCCCAACCCACAGGCCATTGCCCTGCCTCCCCAGCCTGCTCCTCCTTGCCTGGGTCTGGGGTCTCTGAGCAGAGTGGAAAGGGACAGAGAATACGGCATAGGAGTTGGCACAGAAGCTGGACTCAGGGCTTAGGACCTTCTGGTTGGGAGGTGAGATTTAGGGGCGGGCAAGAACCCCTCTTTGCACCCAGTTTCTGGGTGTATGTGGAATGGGACTCAACCCCCAAGTGTGAGACCCGTGGCTCCTAGTGAGCTGTGGCAGGTGCTGACAGGTGGGTCCTGTGGGTGTGGGTTTGGAGGCTGCTCTGCTACGCAGTGTGGCTGCGTCCACCTGTCAGGCTGTGCATCTGAGGCTCCGGATGTCTTGATTCCATCTCCATCACTGCTTTTGTCATTGGGGCCTTTGGATTCCTATGTAACACAGTTGTTTGAGGGGTCCCAGTTCTGAGGCACCTGAGATGTGTAACTGTGTTGTGACAGGTGGGGTGTGCAGTGCTGGATTGTTGGCATGACGCAGCCTTGTCTGAGGTAGCCGTGTCTGGTGTGCCTGCATGGGTGGTCCTCGGCAGGAGTGTGGCACGCTGGCGTGTCCACCTTCCCTGGTGTAGTGTATGTGATGTGCTGCAAGTGCAGGAACACACGGGCACACAAGATCACACAAGTGGACATGCAAGACCTGAGCCTGGACACAGTGGGTGGGTGGGGACACGGGGACATGAAGGGTACACACACACAGGTAGGTGCAGAGACAGATGTGCCAAGGCTTAGCCAGAGTGTGCCGGGAGCCTCGGGGAGTGGGGAGGAGCATAGGGCAAGGGACTGGGCTACAGAAGACAGCAAGAGCTGGGTGCGTTTCAGGGTGCCCGAGACTCCAGAGGCCTCCTGGGCAGTGGGGAGAATGGCTACCACTGTGGAAGATGGCCTTCCCCGATACTCCTCCCTGATCATGGAGGCAGGAAACGGTTCCCTCACAACCTTACCCCTTCCCCTGCTGACCCTGGGTAGCTGTGCCCAGGAAGAGGAGCAGGCTGGGAGGACCACTCAGGGCCTTCCCCCTTTGGGCAGCTGGGGGACTGGACACACCAGCGGGGCAGGTCTGGAGGTGCCTGAGGCTGGGTGGCTGTTCCTTTGGCGTCAGAGCAGCACTGGTGGCCTCTCTGGTTGCTCGGTTCAGCCCGGAGCTTCTGACTTGGTGTCCCCATCCAGGCCACTCCCTGCCTCCTGTCCCCAGGGTTTGCCTTCCCGGATTGGGCCTACAAGCCGGAGTCATCCCCTGGCTCGAGGCAGATCCAGCTGTGGCACTTTATCCTGGAGCTGCTGCAGAAGGAGGAGTACCAGGGTGTCATCGCCTGGCAGGGGGACTACGGGGAGTTCGTCATCAAGGACCCTGATGAAGTGGCCCGGCTCTGGGGCATCCGCAAGTGCAAACCCCACATGAATTATGACAAGCTGAGCCGGGCCCTGCGGTGAGGAGGGGCTGTGGGTCTGATTCCGTTCTCACCAGCTTCTCCCCTCAATTTCCCTCAGGTCCCCACCCCCTGGGGGCTTTCCCTTCACATCCTGGGGCCAAATCCTGTTGGATCCCCAAATTCCTTGTAAGTAGAAGGGCAGCAAGGACCCCCAGCTCTGGACCCTGGAGCCATACAGGACAAGATCCCAGCTCTGCCTCACCCTTCCTTGCCCCATGACCTTGGTTAGGGGACTTCTGTGAGCCTCAGTCTCCCCACTCTGCGGGCACAGAGCCTGTGCTAGGAAGCCCTAAAGGCCGCCTCCTCTCCCCACAGTTACTACTACAACAAGCGCATCCTCCACAAGACCAAAGGCAAGAGGTTCACCTACAAGTTCAACTTCAGCAAAGTCGTGCTAGTCAATTACCCACTGCTGGATGTAGCAGCTGCTGCCACTGGCTCCCCACTCTTGTTGACCCCTGGTCCCTTTGCAGGGGGCCCTGGGCCAGATGCTCCTCCCCTCACCCCAGAGGTGAGTTTGGATAATGGGATCCCAGAACTGGAATGGGGATGTCTGGTGCCCCCCTCTGCCATGAACCCCCTGGGAGGGGGCAGTCTGAGTGGTGCCACCTCCCCCTCCAGGCCCTGCAGACCCTGTTCTCTGCCCCACGCCTGGGAGAGCCGGGGGCTCGGACACCCCTGTTTACCCCAGAGACGGACAAACTGCGGCTGGACAGCCCTTTCCCGTTCCTGGGCTCTGGTAAGAGCCTCGGGGCCCTGGGGGGAGATCTGCGCATGTATGAGGGAAGAGGAGCAAAGACCAGGAGAGGGGGTAGAGGGAGGAGGCGGGGCAGGCGGTGAGGAGATAGGGGACAAGGTGGGAGAAGGGCTTCAGGGGTACTAAAGGGATGGGAGACAGTGCGAGAAGGGAGGAGSTGGAGAGGGAGGAAGCCCTGTGGAGCCAAGTGGGAGGACAAAGGGGAGAATGAGATGGATGTGGCGGGAAGTGGCACCCTTTACCAACTCCCATGCAGGCCGGCCCCAGGGGGAGTGGCCCAGCCTGACCCATCCCCTGTGCCCCCCAGGTACCACTGGCTATTCCAAGCCCCCGGGCCTGCTGGGTCCCTACGGCCGCGCCTTCCCTGAGTACCCCTGGAACTTTAACCCATACCTCACAGGCCCCTTCCCCAAGCTCTCCCCTTCTCTCTATCCCCCACACTTCTACCCCAACTCCCTGGCCAGTTCCCTGGGCCACCTGCCTTCCACAGGAGCAGGGGGAGGCCCCACGGCTGCACCCCTGCTGGCTGCGACTGGGGAGGGCCTGGGTCCTGAACGCCCCTCAGGCCTGGTGGCAGCCCCTCGCCTGGCACTGCCAGGAGCGGGGGATCCAGAGACCACGCTGGGCAGAAAGGAAGACAGTGACTCAGAACTGGAGATTACTGATGTCAGCGGCTGCAGCTCTGACAGCGAGGGCGATGAGGGCCTCCAGGTGTCTCCCAAAGCCAAGGCAGGCAAAGGGGGGACCGGCAGCTGAGCCAGCGTGGGGTGACGGATTCTGCCGAGGTGGGGACCAGGACAGCCACCCATGAAGCCTCTGCCATCTGGTCTGCCCTCGATGTCAGCTAAGGCCTAGGACCAGGCCCCGGCACCCTCCCAGAGCCCAGTCTCCCTCCCCAACCCCAGAGTGGGGGTCTCGCCTTCCCCTCCATGGAGGGGGAGGAAAGAAAATGGCCTCCAGCCTCCTCCCCAGGCTCCAGTTTGAGGGGGGTCCCCGCCTGGCCCCACTCCCAAAGTGCAATACGGCGCCCAGCCTCCCCTGCCCACCCCTGTGCTGTGACCTGTGTGTTTGTGTGGCCGTGTCTCCAACCCCCTGTGCCGGCCCCCATCCTGATACCCTCACACAGGCCCCCCTGGGGACAGGGAGCTCAGAGCAATAACCCCGCCCCCAGCCCCTACCCAGGAGGGGCCCCCTCCCCACCAGCTCCCCATGACCTCCACAGCCACCTACAGAGTTTACTACAAAAATAAAAGAACAGAGGGAGACGTGGGTGCCCAGCATTCTGGATGACTGGGGGCTGGGAAGGGGGCAGGGCCCTTCCTCATATCGTGTGTGTGTGTGTGTGTGTGTGTGTGTGTGTGTGTGTGTGTGTGTGTGATTTGTTAATGAGAAGGACTGAATGAACAACTCAAGAGCAGCAAGAGCGACAGCGGCGATGTGGTGGGTCAGACCCAGAAATCGAGGTGGGCAGTCGTGGAGGGGCCCAGACGCTGCCGCACTGGGCTCTGCCCACCCCTCACATGCACAGTTGTCTCCTTAGATAATATATATTAAAAAATAAACCTCCAATTCAGGATATAAAAACAGAGCAAAGGCACTTAGGGGTGGGGAATGGGGGGGTCAGCCCCCACAGGCAATACTGAGATGGCCTGGGAAGTGGTGGGGGTCATGGTGGTGCCCCCAGAATGAAGCCCTGAGTCCCCTGACAAGGCAGGAGGGAGAGCAGGCCGAGGCCGGTGGGGAGACGGGGACCCCAGCCGGGCCCCTCCCAGGCATGGCTGGCAGCCCGCTCCCTCTCCTCGGGCCCTTGGGGGTGTAAGACGCTGCAGCAGCTGTGGGGTGGGCCCCTCACGTCCTCTCCCCCATTCTCTCCTTCTTGCGAAAGGCCTGGGGGATGGAGGAGAAGGGAGACAGGGAGAGAATGGAGGGAGATGGACAAAAGCAGAGGAGAGAAAAAGGGCTGAGCAAACAGAGAAGTAAACTGGGAGAAGCAGGGAGGCGAGGGGGGTGGGAGGCGGAGGCGCAGGGAAGGGAGAGGAGACACCAGGGCTGCAGGGACCCCAGGCCGCTCTAGCCCCTCTCAGGGTACACACCGGCTCCTGACTCCCCCCTCACCTGCCTGGGCAGGGGCCTCAGGTGCAGCCAGGCTGGGGGACAGTGTTCCCCCCGAGCTGAGACAGGAGAGGTCGCAGGCGGCACAGTTCCTCCTCCAATTCCTGAAGAAGGGTCGTCGGTGAAGGGGTGCCCTTCCTTCCCGAGCGCACCAGGTTCCCCCTCACCCGATGTACCTCTAGCTGCTTTATGGCCTCTTCTAGGCTGAGCAGGTTCTCTTGAATTTCCTGGGTCTGCGCTGGGCCCAGAGGGCTACCACCTGGCACCTCGTCCCCGTTCCGAGGAGGCCCAGCCCCGTTGTTGTCTTCCTCCACAGGAAACAGGAGCTGCTTCAGGGACAGCACTGGAGCGGGCCGGGGTGTGGGGGCACAGGGGACAGAGTCATGAGGGGCAGGGGCTCTGGGCTGGGCCTCAGGTGGGTGGGGCGGGCACAGGCCAAGGGCCTGCTGGGCAAGGCTAAACAGATGRGGCTGGAGACTCAAGAGGGAACAGAGGTGAGGCTGGAGGTTGGGGCTGGAATGGGGTAGGAGGGCGCTGGGGAGGGAGCAGCTGAATTCAGGGTCAAGTGAGGATGGTGGCCTCAGGAGGACGAGGGACTCGGCCACCCGGGATGGTGGTGCAGGTTGGGTGGGTTGGTGCTTTTGTTTTCTAGCTGCTGGACATGGAAGGAATCTGAAAGGGGGAAGACTTTTTCTAGTTCCAACAGAGGTGCTATTCGGCTGGCTGGAGGCCACCCTGGAAAGGGCAGGGCTGGGCTACCTTTCTGAAGGGCTGTGGCAGCAAGCTGGCCCTCAGGGCCTGGTCGGCAGAAGGGCAGGAGGTCACTGAGGATTTTCTCAGTCCGGGCTGCATGGGGGAAGGGAGGGTGTCAGACCGGGTCAGGCTCCCCCGGACACCTCCCATTACCCATGAAGGCCCCCCCCACTCACCGTCAGCTGGAGGCATCTCTCGGCTGCAGTTGCCATTCTCAGAGCTGCTGAGCAGGGGTTCCCGGGTGCTGTGGGGAAGAAGTACTGGGTGACCCCACACCCCTGTCCCTGGGGGGCAGCAGGGGCAGGGAACAGAAAGCTGAAGATGGGGAGGTCTGGAGATGGAGACAGAGAGAGAGGTGGAGGTCAGGAGACAGAGAGGCCTGGAAACAGGACACAGCCAGGTTGTGGCAGGACTGGTACACGCATATGCACACTCCTATGCTCATGCTCACACTTGCTGAGTCAGGGCTTGGGCCTGGGTTCTGGGGCTGCAAGGGAAGCCATTCTGTCCCTCCAGCTCCCTCTATGGCCCTCCTCACCTGCTTGGGCTGGGTCGGGGTTTAGGGCGGGAGGCAGGGGCGGGGACCTTCAGGGATCCAGCAGTCTCAGTAATGAGGGCACACCAGCTGGGGAGACAGGCCAAAGTCCAGGACAGTCAGCGCCCCTAGACCCTGTGCGATGCCTCCCATTCCCACACTGATCCCAGAGGCCCCCCTCTCACTTCTTCCGCTCTGACACGGTCTGTGCCACCAGCTCATATATTTGGGCCTCTCGGTCCCAGGTAAAAATGACGTAGAAGGCTTTGTGATCTGTAGGGGGTGGGGGAGATAGGAGACAGTGCTCAGGGCCAGGGTCCCCATGTGCACCCCTCCCTCAGCACAGGCTGGAGGCTGGGAAGCCCTGTGCTGCAATGCACCCTCACTGTCCTGCAGATACCCAGGGCTACCCCCACCCCATCCCTTCGCTGTCCGCTGTCCCTAGCCCCTATCTGATGCTGTGGCCAGTCCCTGGCCACTCCACCTACAGAAGCTATCCAGCCACCCCACAATCCTGCCACTCCCACCATCCAGGACCCCAGTGCAACTTCTTAGCAGTATATTTACAAATTCCTCCTCCCTGGGCTCCCTACAATTCCCATGCAGTCAGCCACAGTGTCTTGTCAAAATGCTGATTAGAGCGAGCGTACACGCCTGCGATCCCAGCAACTCAGGAGGCTAAAGCAGGAGAACTGTAAGTCCAAGGCCAGCTTCAGCAATTTCATGAGGCCCTAAGCAACTTAGTGAGACCCTGTCTCTAAGTAAAAAGTATTTTGTGACTCAGTGGCAAAGTGCCCCTGGGTTTAATCTCCAGTACCAGGGGAAAAAAAAATACCTATCAGGGCAGGCCAGGCACTGGGGGCAATTCCCCTCTACTTTAATATGCCCCTACCTGGCCTGCTTATCTCTGCCTCAGCCCGCCAATACCTTTTTATTTATTTACTTTATGTGGTGCTAAGGAGTGAAACCAGTGCCTCACATGTGCTAGGCAAGTGCTCTGCACTGGGCCCCAGCCCCAGGCCCAGCAGGCCTCTTCTTGACCGCTACAAAGATCAGAGTGGTCTCCCTGGCCCTCTAGGGGGTCCATGACCCACCCCATGGGGGAGCTGCCCTGAGCTTATACCACTGCTGCACTCACCGGTGGCCACCTCGCGGGTCATGGCGGAGGTGAGCCGCAGCACAGGCCGCAGCATGGTCTTGCCATCAGGCGTGGGCGTGAGCGTCCGGCTGTGGGACTTGAGCAGCAGCCTCTCATCCTGGCGCTGGAGCAGTAGTAGTAGGTCGTCCAGCAGCAGCACGTGGACCTCTGTGGGGCGAGTCCAGCAGATGCTCACCCCAACCCCTCCACCCTGTTTACTAACCCCACCCCACTGCCACCTGGCACTCACCCACAGCTTTGTCCTTGGTCACCCGCCACGTCAATGGACCCTCGTGCACCAGCTTCTTCTTGGTGATGTCCAGGTTCTTGGGGCAGGAGAGAGAGTGAAGGTTGATTAGGGAAACTGGGGAGGGGAGAGGAGAGTGGCCACTAGGATAGCCACAGGGTCAAACGCAGGGGTCGACACAGGTGCCTGGTTAGAAATGAGGTGGGGGCAGAGGCGCACTGGGTACATGAACAGACGGGCAGTATGGGCTGTGTGTCAGAGTATCCCCGGGGCAGCAGCCCTGGCTGAGCCACGGGGAGGGGCAGCCAGGCAGTGCCCACCTTGAACTCGCTCAGCATGGGGTCGCTGCTCTGCCGCAGGTGGGACAAGTCCAGGCGCCGCTGGTAATCTTTGAGCCTCTGGGGCAGAAATGAAGAATGTAATGGGGATAAGTTCTGGGGCTGACCCTCAGTGACCCCAAGGAGGATAAGCTGAGAGGCAAGGCCAACCTGTGAGGGACAAGCTGAGCCAGGCCTGACCTCCATGGACCCGAGGGCAAGTCATGAGGGACAGTCTGGTCTGACCTTTGGACAAAGTGAGGGTAGTCCCAGCCCCCACACTTATACCACACCCCATTCTTGCTGGGGCCAGGCCAGGGCTCACCAGCAAGTCCTCCATGTCACGCACGGCTTGGTTGACATGGTGCAGAATCTCCCGGCAGCACTCGGCTGCCAGCTCCACTTTCTCCCGTTCCGTAGGCTCTTCTGTGGGCAAGGGACAGACTGGCTGCAGTGAACCCCAACCCTGGAAGCCCCCGGCTCAGCGGCCACTGCTGGAGAAGGGAAGTTAGGACCCGGAGGCGTGGGCCCCCTGGCACCTGTGTTCTGCTCGATGCTCTGCAGGAGCAGCGGGTACTTGGTCAGCCGCTGCATCTCGGTGGGGATCATGTCCTTCAGTTGCAGGCGGCGGCACCGTGGGCGGCTCTCAGCATC